GGGTTTGATTGTGTCAAGGGCATACGAATCATAGGTTTTAGGCTCAAGAAACATCGTAGTATTAGACGTGTTGAAATGGAATTTCTGATGGATGAATGGATAAACCAAGGAGTTTAGGTTTGAAATTTGGTGTGATTGGTTATTTACAGATTTTGTTTCACATGATGGAGTTTGATCGGGGATCAAGTATGGTAATATGAAATAATCATGACCATTGGAAAGGAGTCATGTAGATTTAACGATGGATTTGTAAGTATTTGGGATGAAATTTGGTTTATTAAGGTTTTGGCACATTTTAACGAAATTGGTGTGGTCTGATCGGGCATTTAGAATGCAGGAGGTGGGTTAAAGAAGGATTGAGTAAAAATTGGGTGTTGACAATGCCCATAGAAAAGAGAGTTCACTACTATGGCCCCCACCATAACGCCATTTCATCTAATTCAAGGTGGGGCCAAGGTTCAAAGTATGAAAAATGCAAAGTGTATTGGAGAGGCAATTTTAAGAGATGTATCAAGATGTGCTTTGAATACGCATGGATACATAAGCTAGGAAATTCATAAATCCTAAAAAGCTATGTTAATAACAATAAATACGAGTTTTATATGACTATAAATAAGTTATTTAAACATAAAAAACATACTTTACTTTTTTGGTAATTAAAAAAAAAACATACTTTAACGGTTTATATAAAGTGAGATATATCGTGACACAATTGGAAACCATTGAAAAATGATGGAAGAGCTAAACTATGTATATATATACACCTTAATTTTTTAAAAAGCAATTTAATCTATATTAATATTTATTAATATATAAATTTTAATAATAGAATTTACTAACCATTCACTAAAAATAGAGCCTGATTAAGAATTAAAATGCATGTTAATATGAAAAGTACAATAAGTGTGGTGAAGTGGTTAGCTTATAAGCTAAGTTTGGAAGTGCTTAAAAATAAGCACTTATTTTGGGCCAAGAGTTAGGGGTATGATCGAGTCGAGTTTTGGGTGGCTCGAGCTCAAGCTTGATTTAAAAACTCAGAGCTCAAAACTTTAATCGATTTCAATTTAGTTTTGAGTTTCATGCTCAAACTTGACTTGAAACGATCCTGACTCAGCTTGAGCCAATTGTAAATAAATCATATTTATTTATATTATAAATAAAACATTTTGAAAATAATATTTTATTATAAGCTTGATTAGGCTTGTGCGCTACTTAAGCTAGGTATTGTGAAACTTGAAATTGGCTTGACTAAATAATTGACTTGAGTCAAGCTCGACTCGCCTCGATAGCCTTTGAGTCGAGTTCTAATATTTAACAAGCGAAGCCCCGAATAGCTTGCAAGTTGGCTTAGCTCACTTACACCCTTATTAGGACCATATTGGAATAAGTACTTATTTGCACTTAGGAAATAAGTACAAATAAATGCTTATTCCTGAGAATAAGTGTTTATTTGAGAAGCCCAAATTAGTCTCCTCTTAAATACCAATGTAAGAAACGAGCTATCCATGTGTGCAAATGAAGGGTAAAGATATAAGTTGAGGCTATATAATCAATTTTATCTCGTATGACTGCATAAAAAAAATTAATTTATTAGTGTCTTTCTGTTTGAGACCTACTATCCAAATTGAAACTAAGGGTCCGTTTGGTTCGTGGATAGGATCGGACCCTTAATTTGGGTAGCTTGCCCAATCATAATACAGTCCATTCTCCATGATGTGATTAATAATAATTCAACAGGTCTATGGATAATGCGTGTTGATGCCCATAGAAAAGAGAGTTCACTAACATGGCCCCCACCATAAACATCATTTCATATAATTCAAGGTGAGGCTAAGGTTCAAAGTATCAAAATGCAAAGTGTATCAAATAGTCAATTTTAAGAAACGTATCAAGATATGCTTTGAATAGGTGTAGATACATAAGCTAGGAAATTCATACAAATTTTGAAAACTATGTTAATAACAACAAATATGAGTTTTATATGACTATGAATAAGTTATTTAAACATAAAAACATACTTTATTTTTTGGTAATTTAAAAGAAAATTACTTTAACAGTTTATATAAAGTGTGATGTATCATGACACAATTGGAAACCCTTGAAAAATGATGGAATAGCTAAACCATGTATATATACCTTAATTTTAAAAATTAATATATTCTATATTAATATTTTGGGTAAATTACAAAGACCCCTTGTACTTATTTTGTTTTGTGACAAAGACCCCCCTGTACTATGACCGTGAGACAAAGACCCCCCCTTGTTAAATCAGATGATGGAATACGTTAAATTACCAAAATACCCATTAAACTTTTTCAAATTTTATTTTTGTTTTTTGTTTTTTGTTTTTCTCTTAAAACCTATTCAAGCTATTGTTTTTCCTTTCTTTTCTTCTTTTCCCCTCCCAACGCCATGAGAAGGATTCTCTGCTCATCCCCTCCAAACCCAAGCCCTCTTCTGCCGCAGAGACGCTCTAACCTCGGAGAGTGAGAGGTAGCATCATCATAGCCTACAAGAAACGGTGAGTTAGGGGGAACCCAAATCAGAAACTACAAATTCAGTGAAGATTGCAGAGACAATCTTGTTTGGGACTGGTTCTTATTAACTTATCATCTGGGCACCGGCTCTACCCCAACCCAGACCCATTAAAAAGCAAAAAATAATTGTATTCGTCTATTAGACAACTGGGTAATATTCTACGGGAAGGGGAAAGATGGGAAGCGGATTGAGTAGTTCAAACATCTTGAACATTGAATATTAAGATCAGCGCCTGGTCCTAGAAGTTGGATTCCATTAGTAAGCTTCTATAATCCTGATAGCTAACGCCTGACCCAATTTCTCTGAAGAACGGAGCGAAAGTTGGCCCCTCTGAGTAACAACACTCCCGGCTGGGTTCTTATAACATGATCCAATTCCAGTCTAATCTTGCCTTGTAGTAAGCTTTCGTAATCCTGATAGCTAACACCTGACCCAATTTCTCTGAAGAATAGAGAGAGTCTTGGCCCTTCTGAGTAACAACACTCCCGGATGGGTTCTTATAACATGATCCAATTCCAGTCTAATCTTGCCTTGCAGTAAGCTTCCACAATCCTGATAGCTAACGCCTGACCCAATTTCTATAAAGAACAGAGCGAGCGTTGGCTCCTCTGAGTAACAACACTCCCGGCTGGGTTCTTATAACATGATCCAATTCCAATCTAATCTTGCCTTGCCACCATTATTTCTGAATTACTAATTATCATTATAAAAATATTTATTAATTATCATTTCTAATTAATAATGAGCAATATTGTTAGTAATAAATTATTGGTAATTAAGTATTAGCAGTAATTATTATAAGAAATTATTTTTCGAATTAATAATGAGCAATATTATCAGTAATTAATTATTATCAGTAATTAAGTAATAGCAGTAATTATTATAAGAAATTATTATCAGTAATTAATTATTATCAATAATTAATAACTAGAATTAATTAATTAGCAGTAGTTAACAGTAATTAATTAGTAATTAATAATAATTATTATTAGTAATCAATAGCTGGAGTTAATTAATTAGTTTAACGGTAGTTAATAGCACAATTTCCTTTTTTTAAGAAATGATTGAAAGTGGGAGTTTTCCACTTCTCACAACTCTACATGGTGGTAGTCTCCACTTTGCACGTTAGTAGGCTATTTTCTTGAATTACCATTAATCAGAATTTGACACATGTCTAGTGGTCTCTTTCTTGAACTACCACTAATCAGAGTTTGATACATGTTCATTTTGTTTAAATCTTTAGAATGACAGGTGTCTGAATATAAATGGACCACATGTCTTATTGTAAGGAGTTTTGGCTTGAAATTATTCCTTTAATATATACTAGTAAACATGTATGTGCATTTGCACGTGGGAGTATCTAGACAAAACTATTTATAATTTATGGACAGCTTTTGAATAAATGGGCAGTTTCTGGACAATTATAAGTGGACTAAGTGGGCAGTTTCTAAAATGAGAATAAAGGACATATATGCCCTCTTTATGTCCATCGTATGTTTAGACAAGAGGGACAAAACCGTATAATGAAAATTTCAAAAAGAATGGGCAATTGTTTTTTTATAGGTAGTATATATATATTAGATACTTAAGTATGAGAGATGTTTTCAATACATGGTGAAATTTACCAATAAAATTGGTGTAAGGTACCTTATGTGAGGAGCAGATCCTATATCATGGGTCTCATATTGGTGAGATGTGTGGCAGGGGAAGAGTTGAGATCTGTCAACAGAACACGATCCAACCCTTTACCAATTTCATCTAACATCGCAAGTCTTAGACGATGAGACTGAGATTCATCGTAAAAGTGGGGCTTCAGTGTATAAAATGTGTGGTGTATGATGATGTTGGTAGAGGGTTGGAACGTATTCTGTTGACAGGTGAAGGGGGAGATCGAGATCGATGGATTGGGTTCGGGATCTGCGCCTCACATGTACATCCACCGTGCATTGACAACATCCTCTCGTGAATAATAACTTATAAATCCGGAAGATGTTCCCAATGCAGGGTACGATGTGCATATGAGGCGCGAGTGAGGAACAGATCGGGTCTCGTCGTGGTGACTGTTCTGTTACTCTGCTATTGTCAGTCCTGCAGCCCCTGCTTGACAGTCCGCGTTAGCGTTACATCTCGGAAGAAGACAACAGCCTTCCTCTCACAGTCACACTGACACTGTCGTCCCTCCTTCGAGGACCTTCTTCTTTCCTGAAGAAGCGGGGCCCTCAGAATCTTGCCACGCGTAATGCATAGGCTTACGGCTCCCTCACACGTCACTCTCACCTCGCGCGTGTCGCCTACATGAGCGGTTAAGTGGACGAGGTCGACGTTTTTGCATGGCGAGGCTTCACTTTTCAAGAATGACCAGTAATCCAGAGCCAGAAGCCCACCACCCAATTAGTTATCGTCACGTGGCGCCTCCACCGCTCATTTTTGCTATAAATACGGATATACCAATGCCTCCGACCAGAACGAAGGAGAAGTCACAAAGAGATCGAGAGGAGAGGTTCAAACTTGAAAGGGAGCTTCCTATCCCAGTATCCCTATCTATTCATTTCTTCTTCTTCTTCTTCTCCCGTAGCGTCTTGTTTGCTTACATCGGCGAAAATGTTTATCGAGAGTTTCAAGGTTGAGAGCCCTAATGTTAAGTATACAGAGAATGAGATTCACTCTGTGTACAACTACGAAACCACCGAGCTTGTCCACGAGAACAGGAACGGTACCTATCAATGGGTCGTCAAGCCCAAGACCGTCCAGTACGAGTTCAAGACTGATACCCGTGTTCCTAAACTAGGGTCAGCTTCCAAAACCTTTTAAAATTTCTGATCATTAATTTTCTCTTGAAAGTTGAAATGAAGATCTGTTATTTGGGCCGGTCTTGACATTATATATTCTTATTTCATGTGATTTCTTTGATGATTTTTTGCAGAGTTATGCTTGTGGGTTGGGGTGGAAACAATGGCTCAACACTTACCGGTGGTGTTATCGCGAATCGGGAGTGAGTTTTTGACTTTTTTCTTCTTCTTCTTCTTCTTCTTCTTCTTCTCCCTTATTTTGTTTTGTGAGTCTTTTAGTTAATGATCTAAAATTTGGGGTGCTTCAGAGGAATTTCCTGGGCAACCAAGGATAAAGTCCAACAAGCCAACTATTTTGGTTCACTGACCCAGGCCTCAAGTATCCGGATTGGTTCCTATAATGGGGAAGAGATTTACGCACCTTTCAAGAGCTTGCTCCCTATGGTAATTAAATTTAAATTTAAATTTAATTTATATATGGATCGAGATTAATTATTGGGAAACCGGATTCATTCGGTGCAAAGCCCGTTCGAACACCCAGTATAGCCTTGCACTGACTGAAGCCGATCTCTCTCAATAATAATTATTGGTAGTCCCTTTATTTAAATTTGGTGGGTAAGGTAAGTAGGTAATTCCACTCACTAACCCCACCCATAAAGTTAAAATTAAAAAAATAAAAATAAAAATGTATAGGTGAACCCGGATGATATCGTATTTGGGGGGTGGGACATCAGCGACATGAACTTGGCAGATGCGATGGCGAGGGCCAAGGTGTTGGACATCGATCTGCAAAAGCAGTTGAGGCCCTATATGGAGTCCATGGTCCCACTTCCTGGGATCTACGACCCTGATTTCATCGCAGCGAATCAAGGTAGCCGGGCCAACAACGTGATCAAAGGGACCAAGAAACAGCAAGTAGAACAAATCATGAAGGACATCCGGGAGTTCAAAGAGGCCAACAAGGTAGAAAAGGTGGTGGTTCTGTGGACGGCTAACACCGAGAGGTACAGCGATGTGATAGTAGGGCTGAACGACACCATGGAGAACCTCTTGGCCTCGCTGGACAGGAACCAGTCTGAGATTTCTCCTTCCACCTTGTATGCCATTGCTTGTGTGTTGGAGAACGTCCCCTTCATCAATGGAAGCCCTCAGAACACATTCGTTCCAGGGCTGATTGATTTGGCTATCAGGAGGAACAGTCTGATCGGTGGGGATGATTTCAAGAGTGGTCAGACCAAGATGAAATCTGTCTTGGTTGATTTTCTGGTTGGGGCTGGAATCAAGGTACGTACACATAACTATCTATATCCCTAAGCGATGATGGAGCTTTCATTTTGTGATCCATGAATCAACCTGGGTGTGGGTGGCAGCCAACATCGATTGTGAGTTACAACCACTTGGGGAACAACGACGGCATGAATCTGTCAGCCCCACAGACATTCCGGTCAAAGGAGATATCAAAGAGCAACGTGGTTGACGACATGGTGGGCAGCAACGGAATCCTCTACGAGCCCGGGGAACACCCTGACCATGTCATCGTCATCAAGGTATTGTCTTGTCTAATATGAATCTAGTTATCGTACGTCCACCTTCTGTCTGGTCTTTTCATTCCTATCATCTGTTTGTTGAAATGTTGGTGTGTGGTGGTGCAGTACGTGCCATATGTGGGGGATAGCAAGAGAGCAATGGATGAGTACACATCGGAGATATTCATGGGCGGGAAGAGCACCATCATCCTGCACAACACATGTGAGGATTCACTGTTGGCCGCCCCCATTATCCTAGACTTGGTCCTTCTGGCCGAGCTCAGTACCCGCATCCACCTCAAAGCTCAAGGAGAGGTTGATTCCTGTCATGGCCCCTTCTGTCTTTCTACCATTAATTTCCCGACTACTTGGACTAATAACTTTTATTTTCTTTATAATATAATAAATGTGAACAGGGCAAGTTCCATTCTTTCCATCCTGTGGCCACGATTCTCAGTTACCTAACCAAGGCCCCACTTGTAAGCAAACCTACATTCAATACATCTACTGGTTGTTTTGAAGCTTAATTATAGACAATTAGACATAGATGCACGCACCTAAGGGGGCTAACTTAAGACTAACCAATTGATTGGTTGTGACTTGTGATGGGATACACACAGGTTCCACCAGGCACGCCCGTGGTGAACGCTCTGTCGAAGCAGAGAGCAATGCTTGAGAACATACTGAGGGCCTGTATCGGTTTGGCTCCAGAGAACAACATGATTCTGGAATACAAGTGAAGAAAACACTGAAAAACCCTTTTTTTTTTAATTGTTTTCGTTTCCCATTTTGTGGGGATTTCAGGAATGGGAATGTAATAGAAACTTATGGTGATTTCTTTCTTTCGTTCTTGTCAGTCTTTCTTTAATTTGCAGCCACATAGTCCACCGATAGTAAGTAGTAAATGTCAGTCACGTGATGGAAGGAAGATAGCTCAGATTGCGATCTGGGAATGTGACGGGCTTATGTCTGTGCTGAGTCCTTTTTTTTTTCTTTAAATTTAATCGTTTTCACATGTACTCTGTGGCTTTGGCGTGATTTATGGCAAAACCACTACTTGTTTTTGGGTGTAAAAGATAGGGAAAGATGWAAGTAAATAACAAAAATATTTGTAGTCAGTAGTCGTTGTCTAATTGCCTTGGATTAATGATGGAGCAGGAGTTCCGATCCTGGCATCCTGCATGCGTTCACAACGAGATGGAAAGCTCAGCTTAGCTTTGCGATAAAACCTTTTTTAATTTGCTCGTAAGGCTGTTTTTAGGTGGTCGGGGAAAGCAACATTGGAAGCCCTAATGTGGAGTACAAAAATCCATAATGAAACCCAGTGTGATTGGGAACCATAATCCATCTACTGTGTATAATCCCGAGTGAGTGTGAGAGATAGAGATACGGGCAGGATAAGCCGATCGATAAGTATGTCAGTCGAGAATGTGTTGTGTGTTGGCATTAGGATGTGCAACATGGGTCAAACTTCTAACTTTCTCCCTGTGACTACGTCCCTGTAGAATGTTTGTTTGGTTTCAGAGTTACAAAGGCTATGTTTGGTTTGAAGAAAAAAAAAAAAAAAATAGGAAAAGGAAGTTTGTATAGGTTTTCCTATTTTTCCCTTCCTTTTCCTACTTTTTACTTCAAAACCAACTTCTAAATTTTAATCTGACGTTTGAGCGCCGCAGGGACGGACACGTAACGAAAGTCATGTGCGAATGCGAATGTATCCGTCCCTGCAGCCTTACATACCTGAAAAAACCAAAATCATGTATCACAAAATTCCACCAGGTTTAACCAAAATTTAGTACCATTTTTCGTCGGTTGGCCCATGGGCCTAGAGTTGGATTCGTAAGGGAAAGAAAATGTTGTGAAAAGGTCCCAATAGAGTGAGTAATCTAGAGCTAGACAGAATCAAAGAAATCCCTTTGAAACATAAAAAACGTGAGGAACACTCTTTTTTGTTTCACATGAATGTGGTTTGCTGCTGGGTCACCAGCTGATGATCATTTCTAGAGAGTTTTAGATCAAAATCTACGTCATAGATTATTAGAATTTCTAGAGCTTTATGATAAGATAAGAAGATCGGTTAGAAGGAGTCAATAACCGGCGAGAGAATATCTTGGCCAAGTAGCTTATCGAATAGTTGTTATTCTGTTAGTTTGTTAATCCCTTAATTCAGGGATATTGTTAGTTTGTTAATCCCTTAACTAGGGGCTGACTTCCTGGTAGACAGTTAAGAATTGCTTGTATTTAAGCACCACCCAACCAGCTTGGAGGGGAGGGGGAAGTTTTAATAAAGATTTTGTGGTTTGTTCTCACCCAAAGAAGATCATTTATTTGTAGCTACTGACTGGGATCTATCATTGGTATCAGAGCTACTGGTTTCATGGCATCTAACAAGGAGAGGATCGAGACTTTGGAAGCAGGCCTTGGGGGACTCTAGAGCAACTTCAGCCGAATGGAAGAGAGTATGTCAGACAGGTTACACCGATTGGAGGATACCATCAATAAGCTGACGGAAGTTATATTTTCTAGCAAAGGAACTGGAGTTAGCAACAATCCTGAGACATCGTATACAAAGGGTCGAAGTCGCATCGTTGGAGAGGAGGTCCACGATAATTCAGATGAAGGACGACCTCTGTTTGTAGCAAAACCCATCAAAGTGGAGTTTCCTCACTTTTCAGGTGAAGATCCAATAATTTGGTGTGCAAGAGCCGAGCAATATTTTGATTTTCAGGGTACCTTGGATTCACAGAGGGTTCCCTTAGCCTCTTTCCATTTAGAGAGCAAGGCTAATGAATGGTGGCAATGGATGAAACAGACCTACAAGGAAGAGGGCAAGGCAGTAACATGGGAAAACTTTCTAGAGGAATTATGGGCCCGATTCGGCCCTACCGACTCTGAAAATTTCGACGAAGCATTATCAAAAATCAAGCAAACAAGGTCCTTACGTGATTACCAGAAGGAATTTGAAAGGTTGGGCAACCGTGTGCAAGGCTGGACTCAGAAAGCTCTAGTAGGAACATTCATGGGTGGTCTAAAGGCTGATATAGCAGACGATATTCGTATGTTCAAACCTCGATGCCTGAAGGATGCTATTAGCCTAGCACGAATGAGGGACGAGCAGCTAGCTCGTTATAGGAAGCTTCCCAAGCCAATCAACCAGCCCATCATGGAGGTATCATCATCTGTGAGAAGCAAATAGCCTCTCCCCACTAAGAGGCTCTCTTGGGAGGAAATGCAAAAACGGCGAGTTCGTGGCTTATGTTTTAACTGTGATGAAAGGTTTACACCGGGGCACAAATGCCAAGGGCCAAAACTGCTGTTACTTGAGGCTGGATCGAGTGATACGGAGGAGGACAATAAGGACGGCTTAAATTTTCCAGAGGAGGAGGCACCAGAAATTTCTCTCCATGCTCTCACCGGATGGGCTGCAAATCGGACCATGAGGGTTAAAGCCAAGATAGGATCGCAAGAGCTGATAGTTCTCATCGATAGTGGATTCACGCATAACTTTATCAATGACAAGGTGGCGGGGTTTCTACAGTTACCAATGGTTCCCACCAAGCCGTTTACAGTAAAGGTAGCTAATGGGAAGGCCTTAACATGTCAGGGCAGATTCGAGAACGTGAAAATTCTCCTACAAGGTATACCCTTCACTTTGACTCTTTATGCATTGCCACTAATGGGTTTGGACGTGGTTCTAGGAGTCCAATGGTTAGAACTCTTGGGCATGGTAGTTTGCGATTGGAGAAAGATGTCCATGGAGTTTCAATGGAAGGGAAATTACCACCAGTTACATGGGATGGATGCTCCTCCAATCCAGGCCACGTCATTCAAGACCATCGCCAAGCAGTCCCACCAAGGATGCTCCATGTTCGCAGTCTGCCGCCAACCCTCATCCAATACAGAGACACCCGAGATTCAAGAGGACATGCAGCAGCTGTTGGATACATTTGAAGATATTTTTCAAGAGCCAAAACAGCTACCACCAGCAAGAAAGATTGAACATCGCATCACCCTCRAGGAAGGTACTGAACCCATTAATGTTCGACCTTACAGGTATGCCTATTTYCAGAAAGCCGAAATTGAAAAACAAGTTCATGACATGCTAAAATTGGGGCTAATTAGACATAGTACAAGTCCATTTTCATATCCTGTTTTATTAGTTAAAAAGAAAGATGGTTCCTGGCGCTTTTGTACTGACTATAGGGCTCTCAATGCGGTGACCATCAAAGACCGATTTCCCATCCCCACTGTTGATGACATGTTAGATGAACTACATGGGGCGGCCTTCTTCACTAAACTGGATTTATGRTYCGGTTATCACCAGGTACGGGTGCATCCAGTTGACATTCATAAAACAGCATTTCGTACCCACAATGGCCATTATGAATATCTAGTTATGCCCTTCGGCTTATGTAATGCGCCCTCAACTTTTCAAGCTCTCATGAATTCTATTTTTCGCCCRTACCTACGAAAATTCATTTTAGTCTTTTTTGATGACATATTAATCTATAGCCCCAATTGGACCATGCACATTGAACATGTTAAAATGGTTTTCGGAATATTAAGGCATCATAGGTTCTGTATCAAGCTTCACAAATGCGCTTTTGGCCAACAAGAAATTGAGTATTTGGGCCACATTGTCACTTCACATAGCGTTAAGGTGGACCAGGAAAAAATCCAAGCCATGCTAAAGTGGCCAACTCCTACTAATGTTTCGAGTTGCGTGGTTTCCTAGGCCTCACAGGGTATTATAGGAAGTTCATTTGCAACTATGGGATCATTGCTTGACCGTTGACAAATCTGTTGAAACAAGGAAAATTTGCATGGACACCAGAAGTGGAGGCAGCGTTTAACAATTTGAAGCGGGCCATGACCACAACACCTACACTTGCAATGCCCAATTTTGACCAGCCATATGTGATTGAAGCAGATGCCTCAAGTGGAGGAATTGGGGCGGTCCTAATGCAGCAAAACAGGCTTATCGCTTTCATGAGTCGAGCCATCGGAGTTTCCAAACAGTCATGGTCCATTTATGCAAAAGAGATGCTCGCCATTCTTGAAGCCATTAGAACGTGGCGTCCTTACCTTCTTGGCTGCAAGTTCTACATCTATACAGATCAGAAAAGTCTCAAATATCTTTTGGAACAACGAATAGCCACTCCGGAGCAACAAAAATGGATGGCTAAACTGCTGGGATACGATTATGAAATTGTCTATAAACCGGGTCGTGAAAACTAAGCTGCAGATGCATTGTCCAGAGTAGAAGGAAGCCCCTGTCTTGACTCCTTGTTCGTACCTCATACCTCCTTGTGGGAAGCTATCAAAAGCGAAGCCATTGGACATCCTTACATGATCAAAATTGGCAAGCTTGTAAAGGAAAATCCTGGTGAACCATATAAGTGGCAAAATGGATTAGTGTGCTACAAAGGTAGAGTGGTAATCCCTCCAAATTCGAGCATCATCTCTCAACTCCTGTACGAATTCCATGATTCACCCCTTGGTGGACACTCGGGTACCCTGTGAACTTTCAGGCAGCTGGCTCAGCAATTCTACTGGCCATCGATGCATAAGGTTATCAAGGAGTATGTGGCAGCATGTGATATTTGCCAAAGAAATAAAGCAAACACACAATCACCAGTTGGCCTCCTTCAACCCCTACCCATTCCATGCCAAGTGTGGGAGGATATCACAATGGACTTCATAGAGGGATTGCCGACTTCTAATGGATTCAATACAATCCGGGTTGTCATCGATCGCTTGTCAAAGTATGCGCATTTCTTGCCATTAGCGCACCCCTTCACTGCCAAGATAGTAGCTGCAAAATTCATTGAAGGAGTGATCAAGCTGCATGGAATGCCAAGGTCGATCATCAGTGACCGTGACCCCATCTTCATAAGCAATTTTTGGAAGGAATTCTTTAAGTTGTCGGGAACCCAACTCAACATGAGCTCCTCCTACCACCCACAAACCGACGGACAATCAGAGGTGTTAAACCGGTGTCTCGAACAATATCTTAGGTGTTTCATATCTCAACAGCCGTGCAAGTGGACTTCCTTCCTCCCTTGGGCAGAGTATTGGTACAATACCACCTACCATATATCCACTGGAATGACACCTTTCCAAGCACTTTCTGGAGGAATGCAACCCAACATTCCCCACTATGAAGTCGGGTCTTCAGCAGTCAACGAAGTTGATCAAACACTCCTCACAAGGGATGCTATCCTCCACCAACTCAAGACCAGTTTACACGCTGTGAACAGAATGAAACAGGTAGCCGATTCAAAGAGACGCGATATTGAATTCCAGGTGGGTGATTCTGTCTTCCTTAAATTGCAACCATATCGCCAACACACAGTGTTCCAAAGAACCTGCCAAAAGTTGGCCAACACATTCTATGGTCCATATACCATTGAAGAGAAGGTGGGACAAGTTGCCTATAAGCTTAAGCTACCAGAAGGTTCCCGGATTCATCCTGTTTTTCACATGTCTTTACTAAAGAAATATGTGGGTGATCACGTTGCTACGAGCACAACTTTGCCACCTATGACAAGTGATGGAGAAATCGTTGTAGAACCTGAAGCTATTATAGACACAAGGTGGGTAAAAAAAGGCAAATTCTTCATTAAAGAGAGCCTCGTCCAATGGAGGAAGCTACCCATCGAAGAAGCCACATGGGAAAACACATAGGAGCTACTGGATCGGTTTCCCACTTTACACCTTGAGGACAAGGTTTCACTTAATGAGGGGGGCAATGATAAGATAAGAAGATCGGTTAGGGTGCCCAAGAAAAACCCGAGATACTTGGAGTGATGATAAGATAAGACGCACTCTGTTTCTATTTAGAAGGAGTCAATAACCGGCGAGAGAATATCTCGGCCAAGTAGCTTATCGAATAGTTGTTATTCTGTTAGTTTGTTAATCCCTTAATTCAGGGATATTGTTAGTTTGTTAATCCTTTAACTAGGGGCTGACTTCCTGGTAGACAGTTAAGAACTGCCTGTATTTAAGCACCACCCAACCAGTTTGGAGGGGGGGGGGGAAGTCTTAATAAAGATTTTGTGGTTTGTTCTCACCCAAAGAAGAGCATTTATTTGTAGCTACTGACTGGGACCTATCACTTTAGATCAAAATCTACGTCATAGATGATTAGATGAAAGAGAATGGAGGTAAGGAGGATTTTTGTTTAGGATAGAGGTAGGAAACAAGATGATGTTGTCCCCGTTTTGTATGGGAGAGAATTGATGTAAGAGGGAGGCTGTGCGAATGTTGCATCAGAGTGCACATTTTGTTTCAAATAGAAGTACAAATTATAATTACAAATAAACAAAGACAAAACTGAACTTGCTGCAAAGTTTGTATCCGAGTCAGATTTGCACACAAACAAAAACAAGACCAGAAATGAATGTATAAATGGTAGCAAAAGTAACCAAATGAAGCGCATTTTACAGGTTTCTGTTTAATCAACCTTTTTTTCGTCTACTCGTAATTGGCTTATGAAGTGAACAGTGCTTCATACTATGAATGATAAAACCTCTGCCTCTAACTTACGTTGAAACCTGGTGTCATATAGGAGTGCAAGTCAAGCAGGCTAGGGGCGGGTTTGAGCTCAACCCAGGCCCAATCCTAAGAATTGGTCCAAAGGCCTGAGCCCGAGATTAAGCCCCAACTGCCCAACATTTGCAATATAGATTGGACTGCGCTTTAGCCACCCTGCGAGGAGAGGAAGAAAGGAGGAGAGTCTGATTCAAGCTTCGCTTTATCTCAATGGGTGGAGCAGAGAAACTCACAACAGAGAGACTCACTGGGAAGTAGTCCGCTTTCCTTGCAAAACAATCCTGGAAATTGGTAACTGAACCCAACTCTCTCTTGATCCAAGTGCACAAAGGGAAATACTTTAGGCTGCGTTTGGAATCAGTGTAAAATGTTATCGGTATAAAAATACACTGATAATGTTTTACACTGAATCGTAAAGGTGACTGTTGTTTTTTAAAAAATGTGATAAGTGGAAGAGTGTAAAGTTTTACATCAATAAAATCAATCTAGTTTTTACATCGAGTATCGATATAAAACTTTATGCTTGATGAGGTTTTATCGATGTAAAACTCCACTCCATCCAAACACATGCAAAACTGAACCGGAATAGAGTTTTACATCGCTCATAATTACATGCTCCTTCCAAATGCCTACAAAACCAAACCAATGTAATTCTTGACTTACATCGCTTCCAAATGTAGCCTTAGAAACAACTCTTTCCTCCAATCAAACTTGCCATGTACTTGCTCTTAGGGATGGAGAAGTCTAATGAATGGAAAGGAAATCATTCTAAGGCCTTGTTCGCTTTTCGGTAAGTGACTTACCCAGGTAAATGTAGTTATCTAGGTAAGTTTCTCCTGGGAAACACTTATTCGATTAAGTGCATTTACTCATGTTCTTTTATTTCTCATGTAAATGACACAGTGACCATTTTAGCCATTAAAATACATTATTAAAAGGGGCATTTTTGTCCCATTCAACTGTTGGCAACTTTCCCCCTAGATGGAAAAGTTATTTACCCACCTAAGAAATGGGTATCACTTACCCGGGTAAGTGGTACACAGAAAAACAAACATTCCCTGATCCCCACATAAATCTGAAAAAAGAAAAAAAGGATTCAAAAAAAAAAAAAAAGAATGCCCCCTAAAGAGTATTCTATTTCAGGTTGGTAATGGGAATGATATAGATTTCTGGAATGACCCGTGCCTTGCCAACCATAAAAGACCTTGTAGCAGACCTCTAAATTGTCCCTTTAACAGAGTTAGTGAAGTGATTAACCCATCTATGAAGTATTGGAATCAAAAACTTCTTGCTGATTGGCTTCCCCCACATGTGGTCAGTGTTGTAAAGGAGATTTATTAGCCTTAGGCAAATGTAAACGATGAAGTTTTATGGAAATGGGAAAGAAATGACACTTTCACAATAAGATCTGCATAGCATATGGCTGATTGCAAAAGGCAAGTAAGTAGATCGAGTGGAGAAAATTCCAAATACCAAGGGTTGTGGAAAGAAATATGGAACCTGCCGATCATTCCTAGAGTTAAACACTTTGTTTAGAGGGCTGTTCATGGAAAAATTCTTGTCAATTTAAACGTTTGGGTGCAGGGGGTGACTTTTTTTCCCATCCCATTTCCGTGCGTCTCACAAAACAAACATGGGAAAGCGGAATATTTTAAGAATATTCCATCTTTCCCACCTCTTTTTAACAAATCAAACAGAGCCTAAAGGTCTTTCTCTTGCGAGGTCATTGGGATGTAATAGCACAGAGGCTTGCGTGTCGTATGTGCCCTGTGAGAGGTTCCCCTCCTTTTAATTCACTTTGTTACCAAAATACCAAAAATAAAAATAAAAGTTCCCTTCTTAGTTTCTCCTTCTTGAGGCCATCCGGAGTGCTTGGGGAGGGCCTACATCTACGTTGTTGCCTTAGCTTTCCTTACCTGTCGCACACACGCTTGCTTATTTCTTGAAAAAAGCAGTGAATTATTTGGATTTATTTCTGAAATGCATCCAAATGCTTATTGGTGTAATTCCAGCCTAAAACATGCTTAAAAATAATCACTCCCAAACGGTGGCTATTCTTTAGATTAATTATACTTGCTTCGCTTCTTGAAAGAAGAAAGGTGACATGCGGCTGCCACTGGTAGTAGTGTCAGTGTGTAAGAAATTATTTAATTTGTCTAAAGTAAACAGTATAAAGCATGGACATGCAAAAGAAACAAAAGAATGCCATGCATGTCTCGGGTTCCTTTCCAAAGTGAATACAAATATCAAATCTAACAAATCATCAAGCTAGTGGTAAACACCGTAGCTATGAGAAAACATAAATGACACAAAATTAGAAGGAGGATCAATAAGCAATGGCTAGAGCAAGAAAAACAACCACCAACGACACCAGAAGCGAGGAAGCACCCAACTGCGCTGAAGATGATGTGTCGGTGACAGGAGGACTCACAGGTGTAGGAACTGGAGACCCAACTGTTGAGCTGACGGAAGCCTCTGCGGAAGAACTGGATGGGGATTCACTTGCAGGCACCGGAGCTGGAGATTCACTCACACTCACGGGTGCAGGAGCTGGCGACTTGGCAGTAGTATAGCTTTCTGGTGAGGGAACTGGCGGAGAAACCGGTGCTGAGGGGGCAGGACCTGCATGTACATAATAACAAGGAGCTAGAATATAAAACTTTTGTTCTGACAGAGTCTTGGCAAGCAGAAAATAGATAAACAATCTGTATTTGCTTGCAGATATAATTTAAGTTTTGAAGCAAATCATAAGTTTCATATAATAAGATCTCTCTTCAGGTCAAAGTTAGATTTCTGCATTTAAGAAAATAAGTCAAATTGTAATAATTCATCTCACTATTTTTATTCAAACAAGTGGGGAATTGAAGCATGATACTTTTCTGTGTTGGTTTTAACTAAGAAATGCAATCTCCCTACTTGCTTATATTAAAAGTTTTTTAATGCTTAGCTGATTTCCTTCCACCTGAGCAAGTGAGCATCCACAACCAAATGAAAAAGAAGGAATTCACATACATCACTTACATAACCCATGCGCATTTAATTACTCTTTCCCATGAAAGGGTTCAATTCGATTCTAGTGCCGTACTGAAGAAGCAGGGAACAAGTCTTCAGTCTTCGCTCTTGGATATATCTTCAGTTCACAGCAAACGCCTCTTGTTTGGGCAAAGAGTTTCCGCCCCAGGAAGCAAAAGCATTGGATCCATCACATCTATTACACTAACAGAGGTAACAGCGCTCTGTCTCTGTCCAACCAAATGCATCTCGACAACTGAGATTCGTTTACTTATTACAACTTTCGGTCAAAGTGCTTTTATTTTCATTATATTTATGGAGATACGCGCGTCAACTCCTTTTTTTGATTTAAGAACAACGCTGATGTTAACTAACAGAGAGATCTAGTCAGAGACTGTTGGGGGTATGAGAGAGATTTTATGACTCTGTCGATCTCTCTCACCTCTCACCCGGGGGCTTGGGGCGGGACTGGGCGACTGGGAGGTAGGTTACTGCATTTGGACAAACCGAACCGAAACCGAAAGAGAACAACACATGAGCCCGAATCGTATTTTTTGGCAGAGCCCAGAGGATCCCTTTTTTCTTTTCTTTACACTTTATCCCTTTTTTTCTTTTTTGTTTTCTACTATGTCCTTGATGAATGTGTATGCGAAGCACATGTTGGCATTGGATCCTGGTTCGTTCAGAAAAGCATTTCTCAACAATTTCCAATGTTTTCCTTTTGCATTTTACAGTAGTGTTTCACCAAGGATTGTTTAATACTGTGCTACTCATGGAATTAATTATTGAATTAATAGATAAAAATTAATTCTTTGTTCAATATATGCCAATATATATATATGATAATAATAAGGGGAACAAGAAAACAATGGTTCTCAGGGTCTCAGGGATCTCCTCCTCAATATGGACACCGTAATAGCAAATTTAATCTAATTGACTCTAGTCATTAAAACAGCATCTCCACCCTCCCCATCAACATGTTTATAAGATGTAGCAGTGTAGTGTTTATGAAGGCAAACAATGTCCGTAGAAAGAAAGAACGTTAGAAGTTAGAAATAATAGAGCGAAGCAATATTAACTAGACTAACAAAGAGAGCCAGAAAAGAAACCGGGACGGAGTAGGCACCAGATTGCGGTGGGGCACCGACGTTGGAGGCAGGGGCCTTAGCGACCGGAGGTGGCGATGGAGCTGGCGTGGTGGGTGATTTTGGAGGTGGGGATGGAGTCTTGGGCGAAGGTGCTGCAAAACAACAATAACATTGCAAACAAAACACAAATATATAATCTTTTCTTATGAAATATGTATAAGGTTAATATATAATAATAGTTCGTTCCATAATGCATCAAGATCAATAAGATCTCCATCCTTTGAAGATGGTCTGAACAAGGAGATCTTACTATACATCACTATATCCAATGTTCGTACCAGCTGATTTTAATGTTTTATCAAACACTAGCTCGACCTCTAAAAAGCCCACATTATCAAATTAAGGAATAATAAAAATAAGAAACGTACCAGGAGGAGAGCTGGGAGCACTACCAGACACTGCAGAGTACAAGAGAAAAGAAAACCATCACCAATCGTGAAAACCCAACCCCAGAAGATCAATTAGATCATACCCAAGTCAGAACAGAACAGAGCGGAGCAAAACAAAAAGATTAGTAATAACTATAACTATAACTATAGCTATAGTAGAAAAGACAAGATGCATGCAAAGAAGGAAGAAAATAAAATAGTGAAGTACTGACGTCCACAGTTGGTGGCTGCAGGAGCAGAGACCCCACATGCAGCGGGAAGTCCAGCGGCCTTGGTCTGATTCAGTGTAAAACCAAACTGGGCACTGTTGGAGAAGGCTTGACAAAGACATTCAGGTTTGGTATTGAGGACGGTCTTTAACCCATTACAGCACGCACCCTGAGGCTTGGAAACCGTGCTTCCACTGCTAACATACGACAAACAGTCGGCCATGTTTAAGAAGACAGTAGAGCAATCGACCGATGGCGTAGGAGACGCGCAGTCCACAAATCCAATGGCAATAATGGAGATTGCCAAAATGCAGACAACAAATGGCACCTCCTTCACCATGTTTACAGGTACACAGCCTAGCTATCTACTTGAAGATACCAAGTGAGGAAGAGGAAGAGGAAGAGGAAGAGGAAGAGGAAGAGGCTATATATAAATTTAGGACTTGGGAGAAGTTGGAGAAAGAGGGGAAGATGAACGGAGGTCGGAGGCCTTGTTTGGTCTGCTGGGTTTTAGATCAGATGGTAGGTTTAAATAAATAGAATTGAGACTTCAGAGCGGAACTTAATAAAAGATAAAAATCTATCAATTAAAAAATAATAATAATAAAAAGAAGAAAGAGGCCAGGGATTGATCGGTCAAAGCTCTTTCGGTATCGTACCTTTCCGGCATCTTAAATTCAACATAAAAAGGAAATTAAACTGCATGGGTCGGGTTTCTTGATTGGATTAAAGTATTGGACCACCAAGATAATCTCGTACAAGCAATCTCTTCTCTTCCAACGACCTGTTCGGGGTTGATTTCCAAATCACCCTTCCCTATTAACTTGTCCGTCCAGCTGTTGCATGTGCATTCGTGTAGAGTACTGTTTGGCAAGCAATTAATGGAACGAACACACCACCACCTGTTTGCAACCGCGTAAGTCGTAACATTGTCAATGGGCGGAGCTGGAGCTTGAGCTAATGAGCTCTTTATTTATTTGTGGGCTCAGCTTCAGGTTCAATCTCTATTTATAACTCAAAAATAAAACAATATAGGGTCTTTAATAAGCCCAGCCCATTTTTTTTTAAACAGTCCTGGCCGAAAGCTACGCAGAAATTGAGAAAGCTCGGTCCATCTCGGGTGACGAATGACGTGAGGCCCCGTTGGTCTATAATAAAATTTGGGTCTCTCACTTATAAGTCATAACTGTAACGTGCATGTGACCTCGTCCCGAATCCAGCCGGGTCCGGCCATGTGAGTAATGAGGGTTTTAGGTTTTTTTGTAGGGTCAACGGACTGCCATGTGCAGTGTTGGCGATACCAATGGGTCAATCGGGGTTAATCAATTATTATTATTTTTTCCATTTAGGCCTATAAATACAAATACATGTTGAATAAATACAAAATATAAGGTTTTTGCACTCTATATTTGTATTTATATTTCCAAACTGAACCTTAATTTCTTTTATTGATGTATAAATAGGTGTAAAAGTAGACGATTCATCAGCCGGGTAAGGCGGGTCTCGAATCAAAATGTTATGCCAATCTGGGATTTACTGGTATACTGGTTATTCAATTCGAATTCGGCTGTTGCGTGCTTGCTTACACTATGATCATTACACACAAGTATTTAAATCCAGCATTGCAAATTTAATTATTCAAATCATAGAGAGAGAGAGAAGTAGGCAAGTAGCCAGGCATAGCAGCATATCTTCCTATTTTTCCTTTTTGAACATCCCAAATATTATTGAAGTTCCAAGTGGTCGATGGAGATTGTGAATCCCAAGTCGACATTATTCTTGTAGCCATGCATGTAGGGAAGAGTGAAGACAGCAACTTCCTCTTGGTTGGAATGATCATAAAACGCGTTCTTGGGAAGAATTTTTGTTTGGGTGCAAATGCTAAACCCTAATTAATTAATTATTTAATGCAAGAGGGCCATGAATGTAGAGGTGTTTCACCAGAGAATTGGGTAGAATTGATTCATGGTTGTGGACTTGTGGTGACGGTGATCTTAATTCCTATATATTAAGCTCTGTTACAATGATTATTCTGTCATTGTGAGTTAGATTTTAGCCAAGAAAAGGATGGTCAGGAGAGAACATATATACTTTTTCCTTTCTTGTGTGTATATCATAAATAATTAACATAGGTTGGCATTTAACTCTTCAGCAACCATTGTAGTAGTGGTTTATTTTCTTTTTTCAAAAAAAAAAAAAATACCATTGTAATGGTGGAACCAGCAGAAATGAGAATAGGAGCATCTATAAAGGGTGAGGAACTACTATTAGCAGGTCTTATTACTTAATCGATGAAATGGTTCTTAATTAACCATTTATTTATACATTAATTAGCAGGTAAACCCACGATGACCCTTAATCACCCTGATGTATAATATGTAATACCAAAAATAGAAAATTGATAAGAGGCTTTGGAAAATATTTTATGTGCATACCCACTAATCAAGAATTATTTGAAAATTCTGACCTGCAATTTGGACCTAAAATATAGGTCTAAGCCTCGCCTTACATGGGCCCAGATTTTTTATGGTCTGGGTTGGGCTAGAAATGATTAGCCGAATACAACATGTTTGAAAAAACAAGTATTAGAAAAATGTATATGTTGAGATGCATGAGTGGGCAAAGTGCCAATTGGCAAATTTTGTCAATACCAGGGTTTTGCGTGTGTATGTGTGGGTGGGTGGGGGTTATGGGTTGGAGATGGGCTACCTACTATTGTGTAGGCCCATGGAGAGAAAAAAAAAAAGATGGATAAGTGGGAAAAATAGAAAGGACAGGATGTAATATTAAGTCATTCAAAAGAATTAGGAGTAAGTCCAATAAGTGATAAAATGAGAAAAATTAGACCAAGATGGTTTGGTCACAGACATAGAAGACCATAAATAATACCCATAAGAAGAAGTGGTTTGTTGCAAGTTGAATGGGGCTAAAAAGGTTAGGGGTAGACCAAAAGGGACATGGGTATAAGTAATAAAAAATGAAGATATCAAGAAAAGAAAAGTAATAAAAAATGATTTAAGCACAAATAATTTAACAATCGTTATGGGCATTAAACATAAACACAATAGAATGGTGAAACAGGATTCATGTTGCTAAATAACCCCACATAATTGTGATAAGGCTTGAATGATGATGAGTGAGAGAAGACTTTCAAACTTGAACTTCCTGTCCAAACCCAACTAAACCTAACTGAAACCATCCTAAGTTGTATTGGATTTAACTAAGGTGGGGTTTGAGTTGGCAAATTTGGGCTTTATACGTTTCTGAGCCCAAGATCCATGTCCCAGGATGGGCTTGTGTTTGTTCTTAACTGTACCAAACTACCAAGCGTGGAGGAATTAGAGAGAAAGGAAGACTTGAGAAACATTTCGCGGTGGAAACAAGGCTACGTCTCTCAATTTTTTGAGTTGGCAAATTTGGGCTTTATACGTTTCTGAGCCCAAGATCCATGTCCAAGGATGGGCTTGTGTTTGTTCTTAACTGTACCAAACTACCAACCGTGGAGGAATTAGAAAGAAAGGAAGACTTGAGAAACATTTCGCGGTGGAAACAAGGCTACGTCTCTCAATTTTTGAAAATTCTTAAAACATCCGCCGTGAAATGGACCATATTCCCTCCATCCTGTTTTACAAAAAGTAAAACTCTGTTGATATAATAGGCCATGGGTTCAAGTTTAAAAATCGCCTTCAGTGCTCACACCATTTGCACATTCCCTTGCAGTCTTGCATTAGAATATCTTTCCATGAAAATCGGTTTCAGTGCTCACACCATTTATACATTCCCTTGTGAGCACCAAAGCCAATCTCTAAACCTATATTACTTATAAAAGTGTGAATTAGGAGGTAATGGCTTCTGGAATTTTTCTTTAATAAAATACCCTTCTTCTTGATTTTAGTTCATCTCCATTGAAAAGGGCAAAAAATATAATTAAAAGAATATTATTAAGTATATTCAATTACCTTTCATTAAGTCTCACATTTAAGTCATTAAATAAATCACATTCTCTCTCATTGAATCCAACATTTATACATTTGTTTATCATCATTAAATTCCATTAATAATTTCGTACACAATAATTATTAAAATAATGGAATTTTATATTTTTAAAATAAATGTAGAAATGAAATCATATTTTTCATGTAGGTGGTGGATAAAAGTAGTTCAACCATTTGAGCCAAATGAATTATTTCATGATGTCATAAATAAATAATACAAATTTAGAAGTGTAAAAAATATTTTATTTTATCATTATTAAATTCCACTAATAAATTCATACACAATAATTATTAATAGAATGTAATTTTATATTTTAAAATAAACCTAGAAATGAAATCATGTTTTCCATCTAAGTTGTGGGTAAGTACTTCAACCATTTCAGTCAAATGGATAATTTAAAGATTTCATAAATAAATAATACAAATTTAAAAATATAAAAATGTATAGAAATAAATTTTGAAAAAAAATTGGGCACGTTTCTGTTATTATATATTTTTCATATTAAAAAACTAAGTATGATAAAATAAACATAATTTTATTATTAATGAACATCATATATACAACTTAAAACCAATGGAAAATTAAACCATTATCCTATCAAGGGGGTGGGTTAGTGGTTCAACATTTCAGGTCAAATAGGTTAACCCATGATGTATAATTAAAAATAAAATTTTTAAAATAGAATAGTATAAAAAATATGAAACAATTTTGGCCACATCTATAATATTTTATACTAACAATATAAACAAAAATAAGTATGATAAGCAATAATTATTTTATCAATGATATTAATGATGTTATAAATAAATAATACAAATTTATAAATATAAATTTCACTAATAAATCCAAACACAATAAATATTAATAGAATAAAATTTTATAATTTTAAAATAAACCTAGAAATGAAATCATATTTTCCATCTAGGTCGTGGGTAAGTACTTCAACCATTTGGGTCAAATGGATAATTTCATGATGTCATAAATAAATAATACAAATTTAGAAATATAAAAAATAGAGAAAAAAAAAAGAAATTTTGAAAAAAATTGGACACATTTCTATTATTATATATTTGTCATATTAAAAAATAAGTATGATAAAATAGACATAATTTTATTAATGATGGACATCAAATGTACAACTTAAAACCAATGGGAAATTAAACCATCTTCATATCTAGGGGGTGGGTTAGTGGTTCAACCTTTCAGGTCAAATAGCTTAACCCATGATATATAATTAAAAATATTTTTTTAAATAGAACAGTACAAAAAATATAAAACAATTTTGGACACATCTATAATATTATATACTAATAATATAAACAAAAATAAATATGGTAAATAATAATTATTTTATCAATGATATAAATGAAATGCAAAATTTAAAACCAATTTGAAAATGAAACCATTTCCGTATCTAGATGGTAGGTAAGTCAATGATCTAAGATTCTAGGTTAAATGGGCCAATCTATGATGCTATAACTAAGTAATGAATATTAAGTAAATAAATAAATTAATAAATG